TGTTGAGCATATCGCAGATTCGGTCCTAACAGCGTGCAAGACGGCTCAAGAGGCCCGACAGATGGCTCCAAGACAGCCGAAGAAGCCCTCAAGAGGGCCCCAAGATGGACGAGGAGGGTCCCAAGACGGCCCACGAGGCGCCCAAAATGGACCGAGAGAGCCCCAACAGGGGCCCAAGGGAGGTGCATCGAACTGACATTCCGAGCCCTCCGCCGCACGATGACCCCCGAGAACGCCAGCAGGCACCCAAGAAACTCCCAAGACGCCCGAACAGGCTCGCAAAAAGCCCCCAGAGGGTGCCCCAAAGGCCTCACCAATGGACGTCGCCCCTCAGGTGGGGGTCGGCGGAATGGCGTAAGCCTTTCGAAAAAAGTAGCTACGCAAAGAAGGCAATGAGTTGAATTGTCTTGCGTTGCTTTGCTTGGCATTGCTTTGCGCTGCATGGCGGTGTTTGGCATTGAGTTGCATGTCGTTGCGCTGTTTAGAATTAGATTGCTGTTGTGTGCGTTGCTTTGCGTTGAACTGCGTGGCATTACCCGACGCCGCCTGGCATGGCGTGGCATTGCTTGACATTGATTGGCGTTGCCAGACATTCCTAGACATTCCTTAGCGTAGCTTGGCACTGATCGCGCTGCCTATCAGTGAATGGCATGGGTTAGAATGGATTGGCGTTGCTTGCCATTGCTTTTCTTTGCTGCCGATGCTCGGCACTGCCTGGCACTGCTACACAGCAAGGAACCAAGTCTACGAAACCCGAGGAGGGAAGCCAAGAAACAAGACCAAGCAACCCCAGGGAGGCACTCGGGAGACAAGACCCAGCAACCACCAGAACGCCGTCAGAGGACAAGACATGTAGCAACCCTGGGAAGGCAGCCAAGAAACAAGACCATGCATCCCGAGGAAGGCAATCAAAAGACTACACCACGCGAAATGGTTAAGAAATTATGGGTTAAGAAATTCATGGTCTCAGAACTTGAATAAAAACCCAACATTTCTATCAAAATCTTAAGATTTACATTGAAACGTTAAGAATAATCGAGACTCTGGCCGAACACTTAGGTTTTCTTAAGCATCGCCTAAGGTGTAGACCAAGCAGCCCGAAGCAGGCAGCGCCGAAACAAAAGACCAGCAAACCGGGGCAGGCTGGCCGGCGCAGACCAGACACCCACCGGCTCCTTTGAAATCCTTTTTTCGTCGGCGGCGAGGCAGAGGCAGTCCGCTCCAGCGTGTGGCTATCCGGGGCAACCGAAAAGGCGAAGTGCCCACCGGCCTTTCGAAAAGACGTCAGGGCCCCTTTGGGCAAGCCAGAGTGAGGACTGTTGCTCTTCTTGGGGGGACGCGCGAGGAGTGCCGCAGCTCTGCCCCAGCCCACGGTTTGCAGGGGTCCAGCCGCAGTGGCAAAGGGGCCCCGCGGCACCCGGTTGGACGATGCCTCGGCCGCACCTGCGAGCACCAGACACCGACGATGCCTGATCACCTCCACCCCGAGGCGTGACGGGCCCCCGCGAGTCCGTGCGCAACCCGGAGCCTTACCAGTGTCCGACGTCGGGGCACATCACACGACTGGAGACTAAAACCCCACCTTCCCAATCGTTCTCGGCGCCCTCCTGATGGGTACCTCACAACGGGCACTTCGGCCAACGACACGACGAACCCAATCCTTCTCGATGCGGGCAGCGCTGAGCTGCCTGAAAAAGCTCCTAAACTGGCAACGTCCCGCGGTTTTCCAATATGCACCCGCGAGCGAATGCCCGCTGCAGTGCCGCTGACTTTCGGCGGCACGCCCTCCTGAGTCGCATCGAGCTGCGAGGGCGTCGTGGGCCTGGCACGCGCTGCGAAAACGTTGCGACGACGGCGGCGGCAAGTGTTGGCGGCGCGCACGGGGGGGTGGGGGAAAGGGAGGAAGGCTCCCTAGACGGAGGCTGCCTCTCAGGAGGCGCCGGCCCTGTATCTACAGACAAGCGCTCGCACCTTTGAAGAAACAGGGGTGCCTCCGAGAAGCCTCCCCCCATCCCCCGACTCCCCTCTGCGCATGGCCGAGACTGGGGAAACCAAAAGGCATCGATACAGCTGCTGCCCGGACCTCTCCCGGGGTGCGGCGTTCTGACCAGAGCTTCGAGGCGAATCCAAGGGTGGCGGCGAAGGCCCCCCAGGAGGCCCAAAAAGGCGACCTCCGGCGCCTCGGGGGAGGCGGGCCGCCACACCTCGAGGAGGAGGAGGAGGAGGAGGAGGAGGAGGTGGAGGAGGAGGAGGAGGAGGAGGTGGAGGAGGAGGTAGGGGGAGGAGAGAGGGGGGGGAGGAGAGGAGGTGGAACAGGAGGGGCAGGGCAGCGAGCGGTGTCTTGCTCTCCTCTGTTGCCCCTCTGCACGCGGCCGAGGACTGCCGCGGCGGTGGCGCGTGCCCGCAGTGCGCGGGCGAGTGCGCGGCGCGTGCGGCCGCGGCGGCGGCGACGGCGCGCGCACCGAGCCGGGGCGGCGCGCGCGCCGCACGGGGCCTTCGC